CTAAGATATTTTCCCTTTTACCATCAAATGCCTTCTGAATTGCTTCCTTTGCCCTATCAACAACCTCATAGATGTAACCCATAGCCGACTCGTTTTCACGATCTACCAAGCGTAAGACACGAACAAGAGGGCTACACACCTCAAGAATATATACCATGTTATTAAAAAATGAAGGCATCATTGCTGTCTTTGCAACCCTTCTCCCCTTGGCTTCCTTTGCCCACTTGCTGTCACTCCATAATCCACTCAATAGAATTGAACATCTCCCTCAAGTTCCTCTTTTGCTTAAAAATGCTTTGTAATGTAAGAAAGGAGGTAGCAAAGTGGGTTTTGACCGGTTTAATCAATTCCTTTTGACTTGTAAACTTTCTCATTAAGTTCAATAGGCCCGGATGGTTGTATATGTATCTCGTTAGTGCTATTAACTCTCTTAATAGTCCTCTTGACAATAGGTAATTTGCCAATGTCTTCCAAAATGAGATCCATACAGTGGGCAGCACATGGTGTCTAAGTCAAACGAGGATACTTAGCCATCAAATATTTTCCTAATAACACAAAAATAACAATTTAAGAAGACAATAAAAAATAAGGGCCTATTCGCTTCCTCGTAACTCTTATCTCTTAAGAGGAATCTTTTAACTTTAAGAGAAAAATGGATGTTCGTTTCCTCTTATCTCTTGTTTCTTGAAGTGCAATCATACAACTTTTTGTTTTTCAATGATAGCCCCAAAAAGACAAACAAAAACTCTCTTATATAGGGTCAAAATAGATATTTGATAATTTTCAAAATTCAAAATTCAGAATTCATAACAACATTCTCTGCATTCAGAGTTTAGAGGAAAGAAAAGTTCACCAATTAACCAATACCAATATACCTCTTAACATAATTATTGCACTTTCACATGTCAGAATTCAGAGCAAACGGACATGCCCTAAGTAAAAGTTGTAAAGAAAATAAACAAGTTAGAAAATTTACCTGCCAAAACATTGTTTGAAGCATTATCAGTAATCACTTGAATGTCATTCTTTTCACCAATCCTCTCAATCATCTTCTCAAGTAAATTAAACAACTTCTCAGCTGTTTTTATATCACACAGTGCATTGATGCTTTCTATGAACATTGTCCCAGCACGACTATGGACTTAAAAATTAATTATGGTTCTATCTTTTCTATCGGTCCATCCATCATACATTAGAGAACACTTCCACTTTTCCCATGCCTCCTTATGACGCTACAATAATGTCTTCGTGTAATCAGCTTCCTTTTTCAAGAAAGGAACCCTCACAGCTTGAGATTTTTAATCCAGGCCCAAATTGGCCAATTACTTCCACTATAGCTTTAGAGCTTTTCAAGCGGATGGTATTTTAGGGAATACCCACTTGATATATAACCACCTAGCAATACGTATACAAACTTGTTCCCTCCCTTCTTTTTAGCAAATGGTGGTTTGTTTCATTCTTTTTTGTTCCCTTCTCATTTCATTCTTTTAATGGGTGGCTTGGAACTTGATCCAACAGATGTAAAGACCTAGGACATGAATTAGAACTACCACCAACACCATGAACTTGTACATCATCATCTTCTTCAATTTCAATCATATTCTCGTGATCATCAAAATCAGGGATCTTATCCCTTTCTTCCATCACCATGTTCTCTTTTACCGTTCTTTTCTTTTGCATATATGCCAAATTTTTTCCCTAACGGTACATTCTTTAACATTCTTCCTACTACCAACAATGTGCTCTTTTGCCCTATAGATTCTTCCATTAGTCACTTTTCCACAGAACTTGCAAGTGACTGAGTTTGTATTATTAGGGTCTTGTAGAGAGCAATACTTTCATGCTGGATCTCTCTTATTAATTTCACAAGAAGTATTGCCTTCATCCATATCTAGTTGTACAAAAAAGGAGGACAACTAATTTAATATTTAATAATCAATAAAAAATAAAAATATAAAATGAAACTAAAACAAATCAAGTAATATAGCTAACCAAGAAAATAAAAATCAGTAATGCACTAATGCTTAATTTCTTTCTTCCATTTTCATTGAAGGTTCAATACTTCAATCTATAACCATAAGTTCAAAAAATAATATGCAACAAAACTGAACCGAAATAGAAGTTCAAAAATATTTGAAACAGTCCATTCGCAATTACTCCATCCACTTCTGGGACAAAGCCCTTTTTTCGTGTAAAAAAAGAGAAAGTGGTGAAGAAAGAAATAAAGAAAAACTGAAAATCCAAAAAAAAAAAAAGAATGGGGTGGGGCCCTGTTTTACTGTTTTTAAATGAAAGCATTGTGATAGTGGGGTAGAGCCTTGTTTTAGTGTAAAAAACAGTGATGGGGTGGAGCCCTTGTTTTTAATGTAAAAAGTGAAAACAAATATCGAAAAAAAAAACGGTTGGGCGGAGTCGCTGTTTTAGTGTAAAACAGTGTAAGGAAAGAAGAAGAAGAAGAAGAAGAAGAAGAAGAAGAAGAAGAAGAAGAAGAAGAAGAAGAAGAAGAAGGGGGCAAAGCCCTTGTTTTAGTATAAAACAATGCAAGGAAAAGGGGGTAGAACCCCTGTTTTCAATGTAAAAGGTGAAGAAAAAATTGGAAAAAAGGTTGAGTGGAGCCCTTGTTTTCGTATAAGATGTGGAGAGAAAGATGTGAAGCCCTTAGGCGGAACCCCTTGTTTTTGTACAAGGGCGGAGCCCTTGTTTTCGTTTAAGTCTGGAGCTTGAACTTGCTGTTCGACTAAGACTAAGAGAGTTTGAGACGATTTGGGTTCTTTGATTTTCTTTGCTTGAAAGCCTTGCATGGCAAGTTTTTTGTTCTCTCGATATGACTTGTGTATTCTTTCTTTCAAACTTTGCCATACAATATGCAATATTTCGATACATAAAAGGAAAGATACTATTTATGTACAATTATAATCATATATAAAGTTAAATTTAAAAACAAATAAAAAACAATGGACAACTTAAATAGGTGCTCGCCTGGGTTGCCTGGCGCCTGGCCTAAGGCGCATGCCTTAGGCGTAGAGGAGAGTGCCTTTCTAAAGTCTGGCCGCCTTGACCCATGCGAGGTGCCTTGCCTTTGTGCCTAGGCGCGTCTTTTAAATCATTGATTGGGAGTCGAATGAGTTGATATGAGGAACACTGAATTGAACTACGATTAAGTGGACCCACAGCCACAATTAACATTAGTGTCCCTGAGGTGTATCCTTGGGGGAGAACCTCCTCATGAGAAGGTTGGGCCAACGAGGTGAGTCAAAGTGGGCATTGTGCGGAATGTGAGAGCAAAAAGAGAGCAAGAGAGGATGTGTCTTACCTATTGGGGGTCCGAGAATTTATAGAGGAAGGGGGAGAGCTGTGCTTCGCATGGAGTTCCAGTTCCCTCAGGAGACAACTCTCTTGACCAACTCGAGGAATTTGTGCATGAGGTGCCCTTATCCAGTCCCCGACTCGTGATGATGCAGGGCCAAGGTTGACCCGGTGGGGTGGCTTGTTGGTTTCGGGTTAGCTAATAAGGCACGAGTTGTTGGTGAGTTTCTTAGAATACCCCTTATTAAGGGCTACATGGCAAGCTCTAATTGGACTGTGCTATCTGGTCATATCAGATATCATTCTTTGTGTTGATCATTGAGTTGAGGGGCCTTAAAATCTGCACCTCCTTATCAAATGCTTTGAAAGGTGATCTAATCTTAGAGTCAATATGGGTAAATGTTGTTTGGTGGGTATAAATTTGGAAGGGAAGCTAGTTGAGTCCAATGTTAATATTTTGGGTTGTCCTGTTCTTCAAGTACATTTGGAAACCTAGGTTTGGACAGATTCTCCAAGAAGGTGGCCTCTTAGAGAAGGAATTGTTTTCCACCAAACCATACTAACAACTAAATGAAGGTGAGAAAAAAGAAAGGCAACATGGAAACTCAAAGCCATCTCCAAATAAACCCCCCCCCAACCCCTGAACCAAGCAAAATAGCAAAAAACCTTCATCTCGCTTACCAAGAAACAACAAAATCTGTTTACAACTGAGCCCAGAACAGGTTTTCCCTACTAAGCTGCTTAGCTAAAAAGAGCTAAAAAGTCTGCCAAACCATTGGCCAATTTCTGTTCCCATTGAATTCTTAATGTCATGTTACAAGTAAGCCATTAAACCTTTTTATTTCCTCCCAATAATTCCAAATTACAGCCTCCGGTTGCTGTAGCCATTCTTTTACCACCTTGGAATCATCTTCAATAACCGGCTTGTCAAAGCTCAATTGTCTTTCTAATTGTACCCTTGAAGGACAGCAAGGAACCTTTTTCCTGAGCTACTGTTGGCACCCCAATTAATCCTCCCCATCAAAATCTTCTTCCTGCCCTTCTTCCTCCTTCCACACCTCACCCCTTCACCCTTATATTCTATTTTTTATTAAGATATAATTCCTTATCTTCTATTTTTATTTGTATCTTTATTCTCTGAAGCTGTTGTGGTAAATTTCAAACCCTTTGTTTCACCAACTGACGGTGGCTCAGTTGGTAAGTTCTCTGGCTAGTAATAGTGGAGACTTTAGACCAAATCCTGTTCCTATCAAGGTTTGGGGGGGGTTATGGGTATGGCCGAATGGGGGATGGGCTACCCATTACCACCCTCCATTGTGTAGCTCCATGATGCCAAAAAAAATCCTTTGTCTCCTAGATTTGTTTTTTAATCTTTGGATATTTATACATGTATATATAAGCTCAGGTTGCATTGGTCGACATTTTACGCAATTAGTATTGGTTTTAATTGTATATTTGTATAAATGTTGATCTCCTCAAGTACACATTTAGTTTTGATTGATAGTAGATGTTCTTGTTGCTAACTATTTATAATTCGTGTTATAATTTTACTGCATTACTTTGGCAAGATTGCATTTCCAGTGTTGGGGCTAATTTGGTGTTCTTATCTCTGATGCAGTGATGCTTTTTATTTTTATTTGGTAAAATTTTGTGGTGTGTTTTATTGTTATGCCTGACTCTTCTTCTAAATGTAGGTTGTCGGCTCAATTGATCAAATGGAAGTTGATGATGCTGTTAAATCTGAAAGGGACTCTGGAACTGCTCCAGATTCTAAAAACATTGTTAAAACTTTTGATTCGGATAAAACTAAGACAAAGCGTAAATTGTATGTGGGGTCTCAAGCTTTAGGATACCGCCGTGATCATATGGAGGTCAGGCTGTTGTATGTTAGATATTTTTTTTCTAAGTATTCAATATGGCATCACTTATTAAGATTTTGACTCTCTCTCTCTCTCTCTTCCCCTGCAGGTGCTATCACCTTTAAAGGATGGAGTTGTTGTTGACTGGGATATTGTTGACAATATATGGGACCATGCCTTCAGGTAATTATTAGTGATACATGCCATTAGAATTTACAAATAATAATAAGCTGCATTTTTTAAATCATTCTCTGGTTGATGGTTGTACCATTGTTATTTGGAAATCATGGCGTGTGCAGCGCTTTCATAAACTTGCTTATTTTTTGGTGAGGAAAGGACTTGGGGGCTGTTCAATAATAGCTGAAGTGGTTGAACTGAATGAGATATTGCTTTGTCTTCTTGTGGATAAATGATTATATAAATAAAATATTTAAGGATAGAATGATAAACTGACCTCATCTTCAGCCATTAAAGAGCTCACAACCTCCTTAAATAACTTTTTTGCTGAAAGAGAAAGCAATAAGGCATGCAGTTTAGCCACTTAGCTGTTATCAAATGGTGCCTTGGGCTATTTTCTCTTATCAACACCAGAAACATAGATTTTATTAATTGGGTGAGAAGAGAAGCCAATGCATTTTATGCTACACTGGCTAAACAAGGGGTGGGAGGGAACAATCTGTTTTGGGCTATGTTTGTAACTTGATTCTTCCTTGGGGAGAGCTAAGAGAGTTTATCTCTCCCCCTTTTCATTGCACTTAATTGTTCTTTATTAATGAAATTGCTTTTGTTATTGATCCAAAAAAAACATAGATATTATATTAATGAAAAAAAGCTTAACAGTACAAAATTATAAGCTTAACAGTACTTATAATTCTGTAACTATCTTTAAAGGAAAGGTCGCATCTCGTGCCTTTCTATGGGTTGCATGTAACTCTTATTTGCTGGTTTAATAAAATTTTACTCATTTATCAAAAAAAAAGCTTAACAGTACAAAGCTCAAATTGCTTGTCTCTATCCTATAATCTTTTTTAAGAAAAGGTGAAGTATTTCATTAAAGAAGACAAGTAATTAATGAAGACCTACATAGTAAGCCACTGATCAGAAAAACAAAGAAAGCTTTATACATCCCAAGCACTTCTATTCAGCCAGATACAAAAATATTGCAGTTGTCAAAAAAAGTATTGTATGGTGTGTTCTTGATAATTTGTGAGAAGCCACCCAAGAGTAAATTCTTCCCCAAAAACCTTTTAGAACTGAATCCCCAAATTGTACTTGTTCTTGAAAAGTCTCCTGCTCCTCTCTGTCCAAACTGTCCACAGCACTGCTGGTGTAATTACTTCCCAGATGACTCTTACTATTTTAGAAAAGCCAGCTAGGTTCCAGCTCAAAGTAACTCCAAAAGACCTAGTCGCTATCCTATAATTTAGCCCCAAGTTTTGCTGAAAAACACAGTGAAGTACAATGAAAAGAAAACTTTGCTCTTTTCTATTAGATATATCCCAATAAAACCATTCTCTGGTCACTAGGGGGTGTAAGTGAGCTGAGTGAACCTTGGCACCTGTCTTAATGAGTTATTCACTATAAATAACAGATCAAGCTTTTATTCATCAAATAAGCTCTTATAGTTTTCAATTACAACGACTATTTATGGCCTTTTCATGCCTGAAGGATAATCATATTAGGTTAGAACAAAATAATAGAAGAGGAAGAGATGAGAAGAATGCCATGATTTGTGGATGAAGTGATGGACCAATATGTTAAGCAGCCTTCTTTCACTATTTATAGTTATACAGATATTCCAAAATACCCTGGTTGTGTAACCCAAATATAACATTTATCACAGCATTCTATCTCAAACTGGCCTAGAGCCCTAGACTATGGTCATTGTTCTGTTGATATGTTGCATGCTTCCGATTTGGGGGACATTAGTGACAAGTCATTGCAAATTTTTTTTTCCGAGGATAAAGTAAGGTATTGTGTTCAATTTACTGTAATAGTATTATATCCATAAAAAATACTGTAATAATATCAGATTTATATGTATAGGTCATGTGCAACAAGGATTATGCATCTGGGGAGAAGAGTGCCTGTATCAAAACTTCCTAGGCACTCAACACAATAAAACAGAACTTTGACCAACACAAAAGTTCTAGAACTTTCCTTCGTCTTGTACATCATATGATGTTTGTGCTTCCTTTTCCTTGGTGATCTTGTCGCCAGTCTTCTGTATCTCCTTTTTGTTTCAACAGATTTCTTTTACTATCACAAAAAAGAATGTCACGATACACCATTAGTGGCTTCTCATAACCACTCTCAAGCTTAATCAATATTGGTGAAGGTTCTATGTCCCAAATGCTTGAAAGCACCGATGCTTGATGTCCCTCTGCATAATTTTCTATTTCCCAGCAGGATAGGAGAATCCTTCCACAAATAGTCCTAGGACACCATCAGGAGACTAAAATTGCAACCAACAACAAGAGTTTTTTAAGTGGTGCATAATGGATGAATAGAAGATCAACCAAATCACTGTTCACCATATATATGAATTCATGGTACACTTATGAGGGGATGTTTCCAAGTCTTTCACTTGAGTGGGAGCATTTAACTAGTATTAACCTTCATGTACACCACTTCCCAACATGGTTTTCAAGGCGCCAAGGTGAGGCTAAGCGACAAAGCGACAGGGGGGGTGCCTTGTCGCCTAGTCGCCTAGGCGATGGATTTTTTTAAGTGAAAAATACATATCCTAGGTAGTTCCCTAGGTTCCATAACCATCTTTCCTTAATAACTATCCATAATTTTCATAAGAAAATTATAAACTTCATGTTTATGTCTAGAAAATCAACATATTTATGAGAAGAAAAATAAGAAAGAAAAGAAAATTCAAAAAATATGGGGATTGAACCCCTATTTTTGTTATAGGAAAAGAAGAAAAGAAAAGGTGGAAGAAGAAATGTGTTGATTAGACAAAACTTTAAGTTTTTCCTTTACTTATTGGTTCAAATTCTGAAGTCTTTGAGGGTTCAATACAGCAGTTAGCAATGTTTGTGTTGATTAAACCCTAACAAATAAGAAAATAATAAAAAGAAATCAGTTTATAAACACAAAAAAATGAACATTTTTGTTTAATAATGTCTATTTGGTAATTATAATCTCAAAAAAGTAACAATATAAAAGTATTTTATAAGACAGTATACAAAACTGCTAGGCGATTGGGCGAGGCGAGCCTCCAAGGGCGCCTTGTCGCCTAGGCGTCGCCTTGACAACTATGCTTCCCAACAAAGGAGGCACTTTTAGTGGAATGGGATACCCAATTAGGCATGAACTAAAACACTGGGGGACTAGATACGTTGATATTGATAACCTAAGAGAAGGAAGAACAAGAAAACTAGCTTTATGGATCAGAAGTCCATACGTAGGAGGCAATACCTCTGGGATCAAGGAATTTATGTTTCAGTAATAAGTGAGATAGCATCAAAATTTTCTTGATCTATCAGATCTCCACAAAAGCCAAGGTCCAAAGAAAGACCAAAGCGATCTTTTAATTGTAAAATTTTATTCTATCTACTATCACTGCTACTATTATATTTTAAACACAGTATTCTTTTCACTTGTAGGAAGCGGTAACTTTCATTTATGAGATTAAAAAGTACATCTGTCACCACTCGAAGGATGGCTAGAAAGACCAACAATAAACAATCCTACAAGCAAGCTCAAAATAAAGCCTCCTTATTTACTCCTTGCTTTGCTAAAGCATCAGCCATTCCATTTGCTGATCCTCTTGCCCATTTAAACTGCACCCTTAACTCTCTTGCTAAGTTCAAAATTTCCCTTAGAAGTTTCCTGAAAGACCAAGCACCCAAACTTCTTGCTTGCATCCAATCTATTACCAGTTTGGAGTCGCCTTCCACCTAGAACTGTTGTATTCTCCACTGTTTTGCCGGTCTAAGACCTTGAAGTAGGGCCTTTAGTTCTGCCCGTAGAGTCTCCCATCCCAATTGGACCCAAGTAGAGGGCCAACACTTTTCCTTCCTCATCTATGAAGACTCCCCCAATTCCTGAAGGACCAAGGATGCCCAGAGAACTTCCATTAAAGTTCAATTTCACTCTAGCCTGTAGAGGTGAGGGCCAGCTCTCCTGAACTATAGGAGAAGTGGAAGTAGCTGTAGCCGGGGCCTTCTGGGATAGGGGGTGTTTTCAGGAATGAGGAGGGGTATATTACTGCCATGTTCTCTGGGCCAATTGGAGAGGGTGGCTCTCTTAGGGCTGAAATTCTAGCAGTTCTTGAAGGAATCCAAAGAGTAAGAGAATTAAGCATCAGATGCTTAGAGTGATTGAGGGGGACTCGAAGGTGGTGATTAGGTGGCTGAAAGGAGATATCACTGGCTTGTGGAGCTACAGCAATGAGAAGAAAAAATTTAAGTGGTTGTGTAAGGACTTAGAGGTGCAATACAGCTGGGTGAAGAGAAGTGCTAACTCAGTGGCTGATGGGTTAGCTAAGCAAGGGGTGGCTAAGGATTCTTTGTTTTGGGCACATTTTTAGTATTTTGTTGTCATTTTGATGATGGGGAGTTAAGATAGTTTACCTCCCCATTTTCTGTAATTAATTTTCACAAGTATTATTCATTAATAAATATTTCTGTTATCGATCAAAAAAAAAAAAAAAAAGAGGAAGTAGCTGTAGCCCTCCAACCTCTTATCAAGTCATAGTAAGAGAAGCCCTTGAAGAGTTGCAACACTTTCAACCAATGTATAATTTTGATGGTAATGCCCTCAACTAGTGCTTCCTTGGGTTTTTCTTGCCCTTGGAAAATCCTGTTATTTCTCTCCTCCCAAATTGACCAAGTGATAGCTGCTCTTGTTTTTTTTGGATAAACGAGAGTAGTTTTATTAATTCAATTAACGAAAATACAATCAGCCTAGGAGGCACGAGATGTTACCTCCCCCCAGGACTGAACCATATACATTAAACATGTCCAAGCCTGAAACACAATTACAAAGTTAGCCCAAAACAGATCTCCCCTTGACACCCCTTGCTTGGCCAGTGAATCAGCCATTGCATTTGCTGATCTTTTGACCCACTGAAACCTGACAGTCATATTTCTTGTCATCCATTTAACTTTCTTTAACAGATCATTGTAGCCCCAACAAGCTATTTCTGGGCTATTCAGCCTTACTACTAC